GAGCAAATCGTACTCTCGTGTAGCTTTGGATATCTGAAAGTAAATACCATAGATAGGTAGGAAGAGTCCGGGTAAATCATCGAAAAGCACGAGTAAATAATATAGATAAATATCCCGCAATAGGATTGTCATTCCAGAATTGGACTGTTTAGCCATCTCAATACACATGAAGTTGTTAACAGTGTGTTGTAGACAAACACTTTAAAGACACGGATTATTCAAATACTAACTTTGACATGAGATAAAATCAAATCGGGACCTGGATGCACTTACATCTTTCATACCTGTATATTTTTATGATATGGAATATTCAAGGTAAATAAAACAAAGATCTGAGACAACAGTTCAGCGACAGATTATTTCCTTAGTTTATTTACTAATATCCCAATATTTATCTCTATTATTTACCTATGTCGGCAACAGGTCTATGGAAACATTTGAAAGAAGGAAGGAATTCAGCATATCTCGATACAGGGTGAGACAAGATATATAACATCCACCTTACTTTATATTACTCTGCCTATTAACATAAGGACTTGTCCTATATAACATACATTCCTACTGTCTATTACATATAGACTTGTCCTGTTTGATCTCCATTCCTGCGCTACCAGTTTATAACATACCATAAGTCAATGCTGAGTCAAAACAACCTACTCAGACAATAACTGTCTTGACCTTTTTTTGTGTCACTCTGTACCTCAGCAGAAAATTTTCACTCAGCATTCCCTTTAATGGTATTTTATAAATAGATAGCGCCCTAAACAATACTACTTCTATATAGTAGTCTCCATATGCCATATGCCAGGCATGTAGCCAGGATTTACCAAGGGGGGTCACTTTCAAAAATTCCAAAGGATCCCGATTCTTCAACTGATTTAACCAGATTGAGTCATAAGGATCCCGATTCTTCAGCTGATTTAACCAGATTGAGTCATAAGGATCCCGATTCTTCAGCTGATTTAACCAGATTGAGTCATAAGGATCCCAATTCTTCAGCCGATTTAACCAGATTGAGTCATAAGAATCCCTATTCTTCAGCTGATTTACCTAGATTGAGTCATAAGGATCCCGATTCTTCAGCTGATTTAACCAGATTGAGTCATAAGTATCCCGATTCTTCAGCTGATTTAACCAGATTGAGTCATAAGGATACCGATTCTTCAGCTGATTTAACCAGATTGAGTCATAAGGATCCCGATCCTTCAGCTGATTTAACAAAATTGAGTCATAAGGATCCCGATTCTTCAGCTGATTTAACCAGATTGAGTCATAAGGATCCCGATTCTTCAGCTGATTTAACAAGATTGAGTCATAAGGATCCCGATTCTTCAGCTGATTTAACCAGATTGAGTCATAAGGATCCCAATTCTTCAGCTGATTTAACCAGATTGAGTCATAAGGATACCGATTCTTCAGCTGATTTAACCAGATTGAGTCATAAGGATCCCGATTCTTCAGCTGATTTAACCAGATTGAGTCATAAAGATCCCGATTCTTCAGCTGATTTAGCAATATAAACTCATACATGAGCAAATCAGTTTGTATTCTGATCAGATTTCTTAACTTTTTATGCATAATTGAACTAGGTTGAACAGGGAACTCTGCTGGATTCGAACCAGCAACTGACCTGTGTTACCAGGACTGTGTTTAATTACACCAAGAGATCTGATCCCATTCAAAGTAGAACAAAATGCATAAAAAGCAATAACTGAATGCAAAATCTGTGAAATTCTTGCAAATCGAATCAAGAATTTTGCAGATAGACAAAGGCATAGCCAGGAGTAGGTGCGATGTTTTGATTGGGCCCCTCTCATAACGATAATCATATACCATTAGATAGAGGAAGAAAAGAGATTTAAAGTCACCGAAAAATCAGACTATGTACCGCCTTGTTTACATTAGGGGATTAGAAAAGTCTCTTTTTGCTTAGGTATGCAAGCTATATTAATATTAGGCCTTCATGCATGTACTCGTGTACAATCAGCATGCCCTTCAATATTATATAGACCAGGCTATTCAAGAACTACATATTGTACACTATTTATGTGTGTACTACATGGGAATACAATTCTCTGGGAAACAAAAACACAAATACTTTTTATGTGTTCAAAATGAGCCATTTGATTGATGCATACACTTAATGAATAACATCTACAAAGTATATCTAATAGTAATTTTCAATTTCAATGGTGAAACTTGCCTGGTTACGATTATATGGGATATCAACACGGGACGAAGATTGTTGACCTTCCTCCAGGCTTACCTCTGAAGCTTGTAATCTCTTAATATAGGTTAGCAAGAGCGCTGCGCCTTTGCAGTTTTAAACGTTGGCGCACACTTTAAAATGCTTTTCATTTGAAGCTTCTAGCTCAATTTTGAATGAAGTTGTAAAATTCAAAACAAATCTTAATCTAAGTTTTTTAGGTTGCTCATGCCACGATCACACCCCCTGACTGAAAAATTGATGACATGATGGCTGATGCGACCAAAGACAAACGAGTATCAGAACTTTTCACTCGTTGATCACACCACAGAAATCTGAGTGTAATTTGTATTCTTCAAAATTTGTTCCATCATGGTAGGGAAAGCCACACAATGAGTATTAATACACACTACATCGTCTTATTTACGGGGTCACGGGGTATCGCTATCGGTATCACTTTTTGGCAAGCGCTCATTCGCGGGCTCATTCGCGGGCTCATTCGTGGTCTCATTCTTCGATAAATAGATATCTCTTAAAGATCAGAAGAACGCGAAGGGCAAAGTACACCCTGTACGAGCAAATCGTACTCTCGTGTAGCTTTGGATATCTGAAAGTAAATACCATAGATAGGTAGGAAGAGTCCGGGTAAATCATCGAAAAGCACAAGTAAATAATATAGATAAATATCCCGCAATAGGATTGTCATTCCAGAATTGGACTGTTTAGCCATCTCAATACACATGAAGTTGTTAACAGTGTGTTGTAGACAAACACTTTAAAGACACGGATTATTCAAATACTAACTTTGACATGAGATAAAATCAAATCGGGACCTGGATGCACTTACATCTTTCATACCTGTATATTTTTATGATATGGAATATTCAAGGTAAATAAAACAAAGATCTGAGACAACAGTTCAGCGACAGATTATTTCCTTAGTTTATTTACTAATATCATAATATTTATCTCTATTATTTACCTATGTCGGCAACAGGTCTATGGAAACATTTGAAAGAAGGAAGGAATTCAGCATATCTCGATACATGGTGAGACAAGATATATAACATCCACCTTACTTTATATTACTCTGCCTATTAACATAAGGACTTGTCCTATATAACATACATTCCTACTGTCTATTACATATAGACTTGTCCTGTTTGATCTCCATTCCTGCGCTACCAGTTTATAACATACCATAAGTCAATGCTGAGTCAAAACAACCTACTCAGACAATAACTGTCTTAACCTTTTTTTGTGTCACTCTGTACCTCAGCAGAAAATTTTCACTCAGCATTCCCTTTAATGTTATTTTATAAATAGATAGCGCCCTAAACAATACTACTTCTATATAGTAGTCTCCATATGCCATATGCCAGGCAAGTAGCCAGGATTTACCAAGGGGGGGGGGTCACTTTTTCAAAAATTCCAAAGTCACATATTTTAAAGAATTTTTGACCGGGGAACTCCCTGAACTCCCCTGGCTACGGGCCTGTGTACAGCCTATTTGCCGTATGATTATACATTTGGTATAATTAGTTGTATGATTATACATCATTATTCCTTCTGAATATTATCCAAACTTTGATCAACAGCAGTTTCAAAATTATCGTACGGATAAAGATGGTATTTACCTGACCTTTTTGTAAGATATAGTACTAGGGAGATGTGAAAAATATTGCATACACTGTATGTTATAAAAGGGGTGAAAAATAGTGTATATGGGTTTCAAAGACTTCGTTTTTCTCAATTTGATTTTAGATTTAAAAAATTTCAAATTACGTAAGTCCCAGTGGATTATATTACCTATTTTACCAGGAATATTGTTAAAATAGGATTGTATTTTCATTTTATTACATTTTATTTCATGTAGATTGGAATTAAAGTTTTAAATAAGAGACGATTTGAAAAGTAATGTAAAAGCGTGTTTTATCATTGCCTGGTAATTGGCCGTAAATAGTTATTAATTTTCAGTTACTCATGTTCTTTCAGGTCAAATACAGAGAAAACTACACATTCATTTAGTTTTGGGATTATTTCCTAAATTAAAGTTGAATGGAGTTTTTTAACGGTGTGAAGAACATCTTAATTGGTCTTATATTTTTAGAGAAATCGTAACTTGAAAAGTGTAATTTTTGAGAGCTTTGTTTACTTCCTGCGGCCGCAAAGTTAACATCAAAGTCTGATTGACAGGTTAGCGGTGATTCATACAGCCTTTGAAGTGTCAATGTTTTGACAAGTTCCCAGGGAATCATAACCCTAATTATACATGTCCCTGGGCCAAGGATATAGACCATCATAAACATGCGCTTAAAACATGCTCACACATCGCGTTGGAAGGATCATTTTCTATTAGCCCGTTGGCGTGTGGCGCGCTAGCACGTGTTTTCATTATAACCCAATTTCGAATATTTTGTCATTTCGAATATTTTGTCATTTTGATGAAAATTTGTTGGAATTTTCTTATAACAATTTTCTTTTAGAAAAATAAAAAAATCTTTACTTTCTTTCTCACAACCTACAATCACCCTAATTAAAATGCAATGCAAGAAACATTTCAACATATGTAATACTTAAGTACACTAAAAAAAATCTATTAATCAAATAACAATGATTTGTGCAAGCATGCTTTTCTATATTAAATATTGTACAAGTATCACCAGATTACTTTTGAATTCATGAAAAACTGTATGACTGTATATACTTATGTAATGCTTTATATGTTTTACATATAGTCAACATGGAGTTAATATGAGACATTTAATTATATAATGTTTGTTTTTGATTCAAGGTAAGAAATCAGATGTGGAAAGTATAGGAGAGCCTGATGATGAGGATTGTGGAAGTACAAATGGCAGTGATGTGATAGAAGATTGTCAAACTGAACGTCAAGTGTCACCATTAAAAGACGGGCCTACATTCTCTGCATTAAAAAAACTGGTAAGAATTTTAGATTGATAAAATGCAGGTGAATGGAATTAAAATTGTCAGACTAGGTGAGGAGGTAGGAGGTTTTTTAAACACAGCCGGAAAATGCTGACTGGCAACACTTAACGCTGTAGGCAAAAATATAAATCTATTGAAGTGATCCCTATCAAGGTATTTCTGGATAATTGAAATCTAAGAATTTGTTTATAACATCAACAAAATTCATTTAGAAATACAATATGTAATACCTCCCATACTTTTCCCCACATGACACATGATTGTTATACTGAGATAGCTCTCAATAAGTTTGCCTTTCTCAATTTGCAGAGAAGAAGGAAGAGAAGAATACATGTACATATAGACCCATCAGATATTGCTATCAGCGCAAGTAGCAAAACCAGGAAGAAGAAACAATGCCCCTTTTGTGACTGCTATGTGCAGAATGTGCCACGCCATGTCAGAGAGGTCCATAAAAGGGCATATGAGCATTCAAGGGCCACTGACCTCATTTTGAGAATTTAGAGTATTGTTATATAGAAAAAGTCAAAAAGAAACTACTGCTTACATATGAAACAACTTGGAATGATTTAGTACACAAGAAACCAAAATTAAGAACATATGTCAAATTCAAAACCTCATACAAAACTGAGTCATATTTATTGCTAAATTTATCTAAGTTGGAACGATCTTTAATTGCACAATTACGTATGGGAATTTTACCACTGGAAATTGAAACAGGCAGATTTAGAAATGAAAAATTGGAAAATAGAAAATGTACTTTATGTAAATCTGGCAACATTGAGGATGAGGAACATTTTATTTTTAATTGTACATTTTATAAGGAAATAAGGAAAACATATTTACAAAATCACCAAATTTTTGAAGAAACAGAATCAACTACGGATCGAAAGTTTCAGTATTTATTTGAAAAAATGCCTAGGCAAGCTGCTCATTTTGTTAAACTTTGTTATTTTAAAAGAAGAAATGCCATTTATAATGTAAATTGAATTTAACTGCATGTATGTGTCTAAGAAATTCATGCTAGTATTTTTAAAATTGTTTGTTATGAATCTAATTGTAATTTTTAACATTAGTGGTTGATAAGCCCAAGTGGGCTGGGTTGCTTTTTATTACTTTTCTTTTGTATTGTATTGTATTGCATTGTATTGAACCTACCACTGTAAATAACAATAAAACTAAACTAAACTAAACTATACAGGCGTGGTGGCAAAAAAGATGTAAGACCCATTAAAACTTGCCCAAGCTGCAAGAAGAGAACCACAAGGCTGGACAAGCACCTATTAAGGTAACAATAAAATAAAAAATATTTTCTTTGTATTAATTAATACTAGATGGACATACATTTTGGGGCTAAACAAATCAATTCACAGATTAAAAAAAGACTGTACATGTATTTTAAAGACAAAACAATTTGAGGTATATATTGTATTAAGACAATTTGACAATCCAGTTATTCATAGTTGCCCCAAGCCAGTCTCTTTTACTTATCTTGATTTCTATTATGACCGCCTTGTACAAATGAGGAAGCCACATGCTTAACTGACCCGATGTTTATGTACTGTAGATTGTGTTAATTTAGCGCCCAGTTTAATTTGGCGAATTTGAAAAATTCAGGGAGACTGAATTTGCCAAAAATGGCAAAATTGCCAAATTAAGTAGCGCCAAATTAACCCAATCTACAGTATATTTGACCAATCAATGATGGCCCTGCAGCATTAGCTCATTGTTATGCATGGTCAAAACTTGCACAATTAGCATGAAAATTGAACAAGGTGATAATAATTCAAGATCAGATAATTAAAAAATATCGACTTGAGGCAAGGGTGGTATAGTTTGCTGTATACCATGACAACCTTATCTTGATTAGAAAGTGGCATAAAATCGTTGAAATAAGACTTAAACAAAGTGTGCTGTGCAATAACTTGATAAGATAAGTGAATGATACTAAAATTAATGGGATGATATGATCTGTTCTATTTTATTAGAATATCTCTAAATAATATTTTTCCAGTGACCATGATTATCACAATACAAATGTTGTCCTACTATTATTACAATACAAGGTCCATTTATATCATATTTGATAAAACTGAGAACAAGCATTGATGTTCTTATATCGTCAATATAGGTAATACAACTAAATAAAAATAAAAAGTTGATACAAATCCTTATGCATCATATAGCCAAGAAGAATCATTCTTGATCAGGATGGCTAGAAATGCCAATGTTTAAGGCTACTTTTAAAAAATGCTTTTGGAGCTATTTTGTTAAAAATAAATATATGCCTTCTATAAGAAGCATATTTCAATCTCTGATGACAATTTGGTTAGTGATCAACCATTTTGAAAATGATGGCCATTTTTAAGTGTGTTATTTTACTATTTTTGCTTTATACTTCATTTGTAAAAGTGCCAGCCATGGCTGTTTGATGGGATTTGCTATGCTTTGGTGTTGCTGTTGTCTAGTTATTTTTGAAATTTAACATTACCATTTTTCAATTATCATATTTATCAAATTATGATTTCAGACCAGGAAGCCTAGGACAACCCTGACTACAGCCCATGAGAGTGCTATCCGTGAGGCCTGGCAGGCAGACCTAAAAAGTACAAAAAACTAATGAAATGTAGAAAGAATCCAAATGCTAGCAGGGCGTCTGATTTTGGATCAATCAGTTATAATGGTAAGTACAAAATACAAGTATTTTGTCTTATCACTTGTACCCTTACTTTTTTGCACTTGCAACATTTATATGATGAATATAAACCACAGAAAAGATAAGTTTTGTGTGTGAGATATATATATATTATAAAATCATAACTTATAAATTATATTACATAATATGACGTAACAATGGTTATTATTACGTAAAAAAAATTACCTTAATGGTAATTAATTTGTATAAGGCAGTTATAAAAGCGGTTGGGAACAAACTCCCGGACCGATATTAGTGCTCCTAACTGTTAATGATTGGGTGGAAGGAAGGGGTAAGGGTGGAAAGAAGTAAATGTAAATATATATCAGTTAATTAATTATGGTATTATATAAGATAGTTTGATTGAACATAAAATGGAAGTCCCGGTGACTGTGTTCCAACAGTATGTAGCAAGAAGATATGGAACAGAGGGTATGATCCTTAACATGGTGTGAGATTAGGAAAGACAAGCATGCTATTGGTTGACAGTGACATGTGGGTGGAGCAATAACAGGCATGAAAGATAGTACAGAGTGTGTGGTATATTCCTCCCATAAATTTCCTAATGAAGCATTAGGGTTTATTTATATGATGAATATAAACCACAGAAAAGATAAGTTTTGTGTGTGAGATATATATATATTATAAAATCATAACTTATAAATTATATTACAATATATTACATAATATGACGTAACAATGGTTATGATTACGTAACAAAAATTACCTTGATGGTAATTAATTTGTATAAGGCAGTTATAAAAGTGGTTGGGAACAAACTCCCACTGAGTGCTTGCACGAAAGCCCCAAATTGAACAAAGTTTGCAGGAAGAGAATGGCTCCCTCGGTACATACGTCTGTCTGTATGTACTATTTATCAAAAATAAATGCCCAAAATTAGCCACAAGGGGATTAATGGTAAGCACATGGCTAATTATTTAATGAACACATATTTGTCTCACATTTCTTGTATTGTTTAGTGTTACTTAATACAACAAATTGGAGGTGAAGTAGGGGGGTTTGCCATATTTGGAAATGACTTCACCTCATTTGGCACAAACAATGGGACGCTGGGCATTGAGCCACTTAAAGATACTTTTTCCCTCAACAATAGTAAGTATGCCTATGTACTCCAACTGATATTTGCGATTTGATTTTTTGCGATTTGATTTTTTGCGATTTTGAAATGTTGCAGTTATTAATTGTTGATAATTTAGAAGAACTAGGCTACTGAAATTTCATGCCTATTATATTTCATGAAATGCAAAATATAATAGATATTCATATGTAATTCATATCATCCTTAAGAAAATGTGCAGTAGTAGTTCATATTAGCTTCTTACTTGTATGAAGCAATTTTCTAAAATATTTGTATGTTGTCAACTTGTTTTGTAGTCAAAGGGGACCATCCAGCTCCAAACTCTAGTGATAGTGGAACTGAGAAGAAGACCTTAATTGGAGATGTAAGGCAGGCCTTGAAAGACATGGTTGATGGAGGTTAGTGCAGATGAGAGATTTTAAGTTACATTAACTTAATCTGTGAAGATACATATACAGTTAAAACTCTCTTTGGAACACCTTTTGAACCTCTATAAAGTTTTCCACATGCTACACTCATAGAGGGTAATTTAAAATTAAGTCAGTTGGTCTTGGGACTTGGTATTTCACATATAGAGAATTCCTCGGAAGGCTATGCAACATGAACCAAACCTCAATAACCAAGGACGTTTTCTTATTCAGAGCACATTCAAATCATCTAAAAACCAATAAAATTGCACAGAAAGGTTATATACCGGATATATGGAATGTGCTCGAAAAGCACAACCTTGAAGACTACTTGTTGAACTACCTTGACAATGGATACTTTCCACCAAACAAGCTATGGAATAAAATCTGCAGATATCAGGTAAAACAGACACAAATATGCTCTGAAAATAGAGCAAACAGAGCAGATGCACGGATACCAACAAACAGATTAAGAGAACACCAATTATGGAAAACTGCTCAAAAGGACCATACGATACTGAGAGAATCATTAACAATGGCGAAGGTGATATCAATGCCACTCGAAAATAGGGAATCTTTGTGTGAAAAATGTGGAATGCTTTACAATGACACTATTTCACATATTCTTCAAGAGTGCGCCAACCACAACTCGCAAAGAGAGCAAGTAATCAGAGCCCTCAACTTAAACCAAGATGAAGAATTCAGTCGTTTACCGAACGTCAGTGCTATGAGCTGCAGACCACCAGACTCAAACACAGAGATCTCAATAACTGTAGTTACAGAGTATTTACACTATGTTGATCGATTGATAAGGGAAAATAATGTATCATTGATACCTCCATTTCCGAACACTGCACAAAATTAACCACATGATTGTATTGTTTTCTTATTTTACCTTGTACCTTTAAAATTGTGATGTTATTATTAATGACGCTAGCAGAATACTAGTGTCAATGTACCTGTAATATAAGTTCATATGAAATCCACACATATGTGGGAAATAAAGATACATACATACATACATACACCCTGGTAAATTGACCAATTGTTGGGTAATGACTTTGTTTACCCCTTCCCCTGGCTACACACCTGGGCGTCAATTTACTGAGTCCAGTCAAGTGAATCCATAAAACAAATAAGCAAACTTAATTGTATTGTGTTCATATATCACCAACATAATTTCTCAAAACACTTTCCTTTTCATTAATTTCAATAAACGTGGATGAATAAATTACTATATCTGCCTGCTACGTCATAATCGCCGTTAGCATATTGGTTTTTAGTATCATTTGCATGATAACTGTAAACAACAATGGAGAAAAATGCAGACAATCATGATTTGTTCGATGGAAAGGGAAGGGAATGAGCATCATATGATAAAAAATTTGAGAAAATAAATGTCGATGAATAAAATACTGAAAGAGCATGAAAACCTACCCATGGCCAAGAAAACAAAAATGGACATGAATATTCTAGAATATGTATGAAAAATTTCTATTCAATAATGATTTTTCAGTCCATACCAGAGGTTTTAAACCGAAATGCTTTGGCTACTAGAGAACAGTCCAAGGCCACGAAAACCTTGTTGGTGGGTATGTTCACCAATCGGGAGCTTACGTTCATGAATTTAACTGGGCAATCACAGAGTGGTAAAAGGATTGTGGGAATCCTTGACAAAGTCCACACACAGGCCATTATTGGTAAGTGTAAATTCAAAAAAATCATAGGTTAAAGCTGCAGCAAAAATAGAGGGTAAAGTCACCATTTAATTGTTTGAAAGGATCTTGTACACCTGCCATTATGATCTCCCCATGAACAAAATGAATCATTTTTAGGTGTAATATGAAGAATACAATGTTACACAATACTTTGGAAAATATTTAAGCGTTTGGCCCCACATGGGCTGAGGTTGGGGTCATTAAGTTCAGCAAGGGTGTATTGACTTGACATTGGATGTGTTCTATTGACTTAACATGTGGATACCATCAGATTCCAATGGAGGCCATTGGTTTCTATTGATTTTCACAAAAATACCTAAAATACACTATGACCTGAATCGATTGCAAATTAAATAATTTCACAATATGACACAAATGGTATTTCAGATCAGATGTGCAAATATAAAGTTTGCAATCGATTCAGGTCATACTTCAAATTAAAAGATTATTCCTTTTTTTCATCATTTTTTTCCTACAAAATGGCTGTAGAAAAATGCTTCAAAAGCAACTTTTACACTTATGAAATCCCATACAACTTTGTAAATCCAAAGATTATACTGTTATGATTCATTAATTAATAACATATTTTGATAAGATGTAGGGATGTGTAGGATGCAAATGGATTTTGACCGACACAAAAAGACTTCCTGGTTTGGCATCTCTACCCCTGTACACTTTATGATTGAATATTGCCCTAAAAAGTGGCCCATTCATCAATACAGTGCTGAATATAGGTCAACAAGATACTAGTGTACATATAAATGTAATAATAAAAGCAGTATATTTATTTTGAAAAATCAGATGAATTTATTTTTGTTCATGGGGAGATCATAATGGCAGGTGTACAAGATCCTTTACCAAATTCACCACCATGTGGCTTATTCTGGTCAAATAACATGGTACAGGGAATATTTTTCATGGTTTTATATCTTGTGGTCTATTGGGATTATGACCTGACCTTGAAATCACATTTTCAAAGAGAAAATTGATAATGTAGGGATACAAGCTCACTTCATCTAAAAAGGCCCAAGAACACGTTCCCATGAAAAGTAATTACATGTACAACATAGGCCATGAGCATGCAATAGATGCATAGGCCTAGCTAGGGGGGATGTGCGATCGCTAATAACCATGCGATAAAGATAGAACCATGAGATAGAGGAAGAAAAGAGCACCCCAGACTGGAAGCTTGCTACCCCCTGCCTGCACAGTGTATATCAATTTACATTATCCGTTATTTCTAGCATTTAACTCGGGGTACATATTAATGCAAGTAGTTTTTTTCTGCCAGGGCTACTCTGTCTCATAATGTTTACTTACATGTTACGTACATGTATATATTGAAAATGATTGTTGGGGGGGGGGTAAAGCGTCTTTATCCTAAATTAGTCTTAATGATCCAAAATGTTGAAGAATCGGAATAAAAAATATTAAAAACAAAGATATAGCTGTGGTCCTGTATGCGACCTTGCTTACAATCCCAAATAATTTCCTTCTGATTACACATCATATTTCTCAGCATGTACCATATTTCTGTTTCACCTGAAACATCTCGGGGCTGAGAGGAAGTGAGATGTCATGGTTTATCCAGGATAATTTTGGATCGAGTCTTTAAGAATGCCAGGGGCCCAATATGGGGTTTGATTCATGTTATTTCCCTATAGGCTATCGTTTGACTTTTTATTTGTAAGAACGGAAATTTGGAATATCTCATTTAAAATGGCAACAAAGTAAAATCTTGGCACAGGGGCACAAATAAATTGTTTAAAACGTTTAAAACAAGGACAATCGTTAATCTTAAGCATTTGAATCTTGTAAACAGCCGTGAGATTATACTTTTTGGTTCCCATGATTTCAAATCTTTGATCAATTCAATATCTAGAAAAACAATATTAATTGACATTAGACAAAGTCTAACAAATCATGAACGAATCAAACTAAAATTCCTTATAAAACCGGAATCAAATGTTTTAAATGAAATCCAAGTTAAACATGGGTATTGTCAAACTTATCCCCGATTTAACAATGATGCAAAAATCCATCCTTTGATCATTAGTTTAATCACAAGTTCAGGTTTTGTGGATTATAAAGTTAAAACTCTTAAAGGATAATCCCTTGTCATTGAAAATGATACCGAGACCCTCATACTTCTCCCGGGATACTTCTCTTTAAACCAGACTCGATATTTGGAATACACTCTCTGTATAAAACACATTATTTAAACCCTCAAAATGAATATATTCAGGCCCGTAGCCCCCCCCCCCCCCCCCCGGCCAAAAAATCTTTCAAATCATGCAGTTTTCACCATTCTGAGCACTTTTTTAAGTGATTCTGACTAATTTTGGACCAAAATTGTCACAAGTGAACCACTTCTGGAATTTTTCAAAAAGTGAATCCCCCTTGGCAACTCCTGGCTACAGGCCTGATACTCTTTGGTGTAAAATAAAGGTAATTTTGCTTAGCGCCTGTTTCGAGATTCGCAAAATTAAACCATGATTCAATCCATTCCTAGCAGAACACCAAACGCTGAAAAAGGACACATCGTGAAAGGAAACAAAAATATTATTTTCAAAGTGCCGAAACAAACATGTCTTATTGTATTTTATGGCTATATCAATTGAATACATGTTACAGGGACGTAGCCAGCCTTCAGTCAGGGTGGTGCGATCGTCAAAAAATCGGTTTTCAGTCGGGGGGATGCGATTGTGGCATATAAACAAGCCAAAAATTAAGATTTATCTTGATTTTTTCAAAAATTGATGCAAATTCCTTCAAAATTGAACTAAAAGTTTCAAATGAAAGCCATGCAAAGCTCCTTTCTTCTTCCTTCTCTATTGGTTAAGCGGGGGGGGGGGGGGGTGCGATCATTCACGAATCGCACCCCCCTGGTTACGCCTATGTGTTAAAACTTTACACAATATCAATATTTAAAACTGTATCTTGTAAGTGGCTTATTAAGCATCAGATCAATCACTAAGAACCCCTCTTATCTGCCGTTTGCGTTTGGAAGGATAAAGACAAAGGGGACGCGGCTACATGTATATCGCGATAACGTGAAATCTTTATGACATATCCCTTCACCAGGGCCTACACCAATATTCTTAACACCACTTATTAAAGGATGCATGCATCAAGAGGTAGACATCATTCAAAAGACATAAACATGACCGGGTCGGTCAGGGGAAGGTTTGCATACGATGCAATTTGTACATGCAAGCTCATTTTTCACATATAAATTAATAAAGTCGATTCCTTGGGAATACGTTATTGGGTTTATAAGCGTAACGAGGAGAAGCGGTGGGTTCGCACCCCCTCCTACAAGCAATAAAAGGTACCATAAGGTAGAGGAAGAAAAGAGCATTAAATTGATTTTTTGTTTGAAGCTTCTAGCTCAGGTTTGAAGGAAGTTGCATCATTTTCGTAAAAATTCAAAACAAATATTTTTTGCCTCATTTATGTCACGATCGCACCCCCCGACTGAAAACCTAAAATATTTTGGTGATTGCATCACCCCTCCCCCCGACTGAAAGCTGGCTACGGCCCTGGGGTTTTGTCGAAAACTATATTGTCAACATTTTATCATTATGCGGAAAGTCCAATATGAAATCTAATGGTAAATATGTTGCATTTATGGAGGGAATTCCACTGTAAACTATAATGTGAATGTTTGATATGAATACTTCCATACAACCATCAATATCCATTCTTTTGAAATAAGATGTTACAACAAAGGGAATATTGAAAACTACAGTGGTAAGAGCATCTTTCTGACTGCTAATTATGTGTATCAACATTTTGATTGCACCTCAGCTGGAGATTAAATCTTATAATAATTTGATCAAAGGGATTGTAATTTTCTCCAATTCGCTTATCTATGTTACAATCTGTATACTTGTTATATTGTGAGCGGTATGTGTTGATAAACCAAAAAGATATGTTTTTTGGATATCAACATTTAGAAAAAAGTGTAAGATACCATTCTATATGTTTATCTAAGTGTTTAGCATAGGTAAGAATGGGGGATGGGCTGGCGGGGGTCCGTCTTTGAATAATTCCAAGGGGTTCATATATTATCACAATTTTGCTACAAAATCACTTGGAAAGTGCATGATTTGAAAGATTATTTGGCCAAGGCGTCCGCTATTAACATGAGTATGAATTTTATAAAAAAAATTACTTGAATCAAAATCGAAGAATTACTTGCCCCGTGTGTTCACCATTCACCCCGGGGGTTCACACTCGGCTCCGGTGGGGTACCTTTTTTACATTTGGTATGTCAAGCCAATGGACCCACATTTTAAG